TGGAAAAATCGAAACTCTATCTATTTCGAGCCCATCCCCCGTAACCCGCTCAAACCTAGTTGGACCATTGCTCTGGCTACTGAATGGTATTACCTCTCAAATGCTAGTAAACCCTGTGCCACTAAAACCGTTGCTTGTGGATGGACCTCACCACCCATACACTGCTTCAAACTAAACACCGATGGCGCGACAAATGCAAACCAGGCAGCTGCAGGCAGTATCATTCGAGACAATCATGGCAATTGGGTCTCGGGTTTCTACATATCTTTGGGCAAAACAAACAGTTTAATCGCCGAGTTATGGGCTCTTAGAGATGGTCTCAAATTGGCTCTTGACCAGGATCTCACACCCATTGAAATTGAATCTGATGCTCTGACCCTTGTTCACATGATACTAAACAATTGTAATGATCAACACCACCTTAGTAATATTGTTCATGACTGCAGGTTCCTCCTGGATAGCCTCGGATCGCCAATTGTTAAACACATCTTTAGGGAAGCAAATAAAAGTGCGGATGCACTAGAAAATTATGGGATGCTTATGATGGATGAGAATTTTCATGTCTTCTCCTACCCTCCATCTATCTTTGTATCGCAGATGGTTATGTATGATGCCATAGGAATTCTATACCCTAGAACTATTTTGTACTAGTTCCGTTTTTATTTATATCCATCGTTATTTACCAAAAAAAAAAAACTTCAAATTTATAATTAATAATTAAATAAAATATAAATATTATTAAATAAATATAAATGCGTATACCAAGCATTTTTAATATTTTTTTTTAAAGAAAAAATACTTGTCAAAGAAGAAAAACTTATCAACCCTTATTCTATTATCTGAAATGAAAATTATAAAATAAAGGGCAAATTACAAACACCCCCCTCGAGGTTTGATGAAAATATAGATTCTCCCCTGAGGTTTGAAAAATTACATCCCGTCTCCTGAGGTTTATATTTTCATAACTAATTACCCCCTGATGTTTTTATTTTCATACAGATTCCCCCCTAATTTTTCCTAATTTGTTATGAAAATTTGACCCTCAGGGGGCAATTTGTAATTTCTCAAACCTCGGGGGGGAATCTGTATTTTCACCAAATCTCGAGGGGGGTGTTTGTAATTTCCCTAAAATAAATCATAGTGATTTTAAGATAGATTTTATACATCAAATTTATTTTAATATAAATATATTTATTTGTTTGATTGCAATCGTTGCATTTTTTTTTTAATTGAGAACATTTTAAAGGGAGCTTTTTTGATAAATCTTCTTTTTAAGGGTTTTATTTCATTCAATCCATATTCTTTTTGACTATTCCATTAGATTCTATTTGAGATAAGAAGACCAAAACACCCTCAATCTCTCCTACCCCTTATTACTGTTGATATTTAATGTTGATTGTCATTATGTTTTGATAGTTCCTATGCATCCGGATGTTAACTGTCATTATATTCATATTAATTTGAAATGAATTTTTGCCACTGTGTTGTCAATTACATGATGTGAATATTCACATCATGTAATTGAAATAAATATTCACATCATTATATTCACATTAATTTGAAATAAATTTTTGACAATTTCAAATATTCACATCATTATATTCACATTAATTTGAAATAAATTTTTGTCATTGTGTTGTCAATTACATGATGTGAATATTTATACTAAAACATACGAATGTGAACGTTCACTTCACTACATTAGATGAGAGAGAATGTTCACATGTTGTGAACGTCCACATCACTACATGTTGTAAATAAGAATGTGTAGTCAATTAAAAATAAGAAGGTTCTCATGTGAACGTTCACATCAGATGAGAGAGAATATTCACATTATTTTTAATGTGTTATCAATTAAAAATATATTCACATTATATAATAATATAAAATAATAACATCAACGTTATTTAATTTGTGTATGAAATTTCCTATTCCTTGATCGTTTTCCTTCTCTCTCCTTCCCCAACATTAAATATCAACATTAAATATCAATATTAAATATAAGGGTATAAGTGTTTAAGAAAATAGTGTAAATCAAGAAAAAAAGATTTTATGAAATAAAAGTATAAATATATGGGACTAAATGGGTTAAAAAAAATTCATAGACTTCTTGGATTAGAACACTTCTAAATGTGATTTATCAATATAAAAATTCTCATTTTAAATGTTATAGAAATGTTTATAAGCATGATAAAAACATTATAAGATGGGAATATTTATTAGAAAATGTTTTCAAATAACTCAAAACACAATGTAATATCTCATAAAATGACTTACCAATTATAATTTGTGAATAATTTTACATGATCCAATATACAGTGATTTTTAAAAAATTATTTTATTAACATCTTATGTGGTCAAATATAACAAAATGGGAAAAATATTTTTAATGAAAACAATTTACACCAAATAAAATGATTCCCTCTCTTTATTTCTAATTTTTTTGTCTTTATTTTTTTTATAACAACCTTTTACATTTGTTTTATCATACTTTTGTAAAAATACTTTAAAATTGTAATTTTCTTCTACATGTTATTAAAATTAATAAACATAAATATATAGATTGGAATAATTCAAAGCATATATACAAAATAATGCATTTATCGATGAAATAAGAAAAATCATTTGAGGAATAAAAGAGGGAAAAAAAGACAAAAAATGGAAAAAAAAAAAAAAAAAAGGAGAGATGATAAAAAATAAAAATGTCAAGGAAGAGGAAAAATTTTAAAAATAGAAAGTTATCTCTTTAATTTTAGGAAGGACGGACACTTGGCAAAATTTTAAGAGTCTAAAAGTGACACATAGTACCTTTCTAGAACTTCCTAACGGTATTTGGTTGGGAGATTTGGAAAGAAAAAGAAAAAAATGTGTGAAATTAGATGAAATGTAAATATATTTTATTCATATTTCACCTATCTTTTTCTTTTCCCTTTTCAAATCATTCTCAAATCCAACCAAACACGCCTCCGTTTGGGAAGTGGGTTGGCTTTTTGACTTTTTGATTTTTTTTAGCTATTTTAGTCTGGACTAAAAAGTTTGGTTTGAGAAGGACTTTTTGTCTTTTTTGACTTTTTTGATTTTTTTTGTAAAAAAAAAATGTAATGATTATGAATTAGATGTGATATTTTATTTATTATGATTAAAATAACTTATTTTACCTTTTGTGACTAAAATAATCAAATAAGCCACAAACTCATCTTCCCAAACGGTGGTAAGAAAAATCTCTACTCAACTTATATATTATATTATAGATATTATATGATTTCACAGGGTGAGCCCACCTGTACAATGGGAAATGGGAGATGAACCCTGAAAATTTGCACATATAAAATAATTCAAATTGTCCATTATTAGAAGAAACAAGAAGAATAAAGACAAATTTAGACACTTCTTCATGTTTCCACATGTTAAAAGTTGATTGAGTCTCGAGAAAATACGAGGTAAAATCTGGGGATAAAATTTATGAATTGAAATTTATATGCATGTTTCACAGAATCATTCCTGCATGTAAACCTCAAGTCTTATATTATTGCTTGCTGTCATATAAAACAGCATTCTTAATAGTAATATATTATCAATCAAAACTTATGGAAACATTATTAGAATACATTGATTTCATCAGAGTCAAATTAATCATATTTTGTTAGTGCTTGGTTGTTAGTATTACTCCATTCCCACAAGGACCACCACAATCTCACCATTATCACACACACTCTCTCTCTCTCTCTCTCTCTCTCTCTCTCTATGTATATATATATATATATCTATGTGTATGGGTTTGAAATTTGAATTATTTCCAGTTCACACTAGTACTGGATGGTTGACTGTGGTTCATTGGGTTAGTTACGTGCTCCGTATTGATAATCTACTACATATACGTTTTTTTCCTCAAAATATTAGTATTTTTTAAAAAAATTTAACTTTTTTTTAGTAGTACAATTATTACACTTTAAAAATATTAAAATTTTAAAATTATCCTTTGATAATATATTTTTTGGGGAACATTAATTGTTATAATTATAGTTTTTGTATTGTTAATAAATTTAAAAGAATGACAAAATAGAAAATTCATATTATTTTAGTATTTAATTTTTGAAAATGGACTAATATTTCAGAAAAATAAAAAATGAAATAATGGACTAATATTTTGAAACGGATGAAATATATTTTAAGTCTTTATATATAGATTATTGATGAAAAAAAAAAATTAGATTCTTTGATAATATAATTACATGAATTTTTCATCTTTATTTCAAAACAATAAATGAGAAGTATAGATACTAAGATGATAAGATGGTCGATTTTTTTGAATACTAAGCTAATTATATTATGTGACTGCGATTATCAAATTAATATGATTTTTTTTACATAGATGACCAACATATGAGAACTAAATTAGAGTGGAATCATTGAAAAAGAATGTGTGGTAGGATTAGTGGGTTAAGACTACCATTCAATTTAGGCAGGAGGGAAACTGTACTTTATCTATGTTTAGATCTAAGGATTTATAAAAGAATTTAGGGTAAATTATATTTTATCTCTTTTATATTTGATCATTTTTTTACTTTTACTTTTGCTTTTGAATTTTTTTATTTTTTTCACTTTAGTTCTTTCATGTTTCAAGTTTTTTCCAATTTACTTTTAAAATTAGTTTATGTTCAAAATTAAACAGAAAATGTCACGTTAACTGTCACATGACATAAAAAATATATTATTATATTGAGATTTGAATTTCTATCAAATGTGTGAAGTAATATATAATAAAATATTTTTATACCATGTAGTTGTCAATGTGTCAATTTTTTTGTCTAATTTTGAATATAAATTAACTTTTGGTATAAATTGAGAAAAAAACTTGAAATATAGATATAAAAGGTGAAAATGAGAAAAAATATTCAAAGGCTAAAATGAAAAAATGACCAAACATATAAAAAAAAGAAAAAAAAAAAGGTCGACGTCTGATTTACCCAAGAATTATAGTGAGCAATAAGAAAAGTAGAAGAACAAAAAAAATAACTTCTATTTTATTTATTGTTTTATTTTTTTATAAATTATTTTACAAATTTAAGATCTAAATGCATGATAGGTTGCATCATGACTACCAACTGTGATGAAAATTATGACATCTTCCTTTCGCTTTTGGATACACGCGGACAGCGGCTTCCACCTAATTCCAGGTTTAGTGGTAGGTGGCCCCTCATCCAAACAGGACCCATTCCACTATCTTTTGGCTACACATCAATCTGCTTTATAATCTCACTCAACCAGGTGTCACACTACACTAATCTCTCTCAATAATAGCAAGCTCTAGCTCTTCATCACAATAATATAATACCATATTACAGACACAAAATATCAATTTTACTGTACATGAGAGAGAGAGAGAGAGAGAGATAGAGAGAGAGAGAGAGGGAGATGATGGTGGGGTTCTAGAAGAATTTTTCAAGTGTAGAAAGGACTGTTTTCAAGGCTTCTCATCCATATGGAATGGACTGTTTTCAAGACTTCTCATCCATACGTACACAGTGGTCAAAAATTTTCTTTGTGAAAATCAAATTTGGTGGATGTCTTGTGAGAGAAATCCAAAGCCAGCTGTCTTAGCTCTTTTGTTAGTGCTGGTGCCCCACAGTAAAACACCCCTGCATTTGTGTAGTCACCGACAATAAGTTAGATCATACGACTCAGAGTGATGATATATAAATATAATATACATATATTGATCGATATGTTAAATTGTGAGTTTATCATTTTAAAATTTTAGATTTATATTGTCATATCATTTTGATTAATGATTCTATATAATAAAAAATGAATGAATCTCATTTTTCAACTAATAAATGCTAGAAACTCTTAAAATGGTATTTTTAAATTTACTCACACTAACATGGCAGGAGGTTAGATCTTAATTGATTTATAAACAAATCAACATCGGACATGCAATAGTTTACATGTGGCAGGAGGTTTGGTCTTAATTGATTGATTGATTTATAAACAAATCAACAACTGACATGCAGTAGTATACCTTATTGAAAGTAAATTTAAGAATCATATTTTAAAGAAATATATGGATATATCACCCTCTTTAAAGGAAATAACAGAAAGATAAAAAGTAAAAGTCCAAGTAATATGAATGTTCATTAGGTGTGAAGAGAAAGTAGAGTTTGGTAGAATAGTTGGGCTGCCTTTTTTTCTAACTTTAATTGCTTCACATCTTAGCCAAAACTTTTTTAATTATCAGCAACAAAAAGGAGACAAAACAAGTTACCAATAAGATATGAATTTGAATTGATAAGTATGTAACATAAGATTAACTTCTATATACTTTGCTTCCACTATCAAGATTACTGGTGTATGAAAATGACATAAAGAGAGAAGAAAAACTCTGAAGTTAAATGAAAAGAAAAGATGAAAGTAATATATAGTACAAAAAATTTAGTAAAGTAGTCATGCATTAAACATTTTTAGTACAAAAATGCAGTAATTAATATAGTTCCAAAATGAAGTAAAATGGTCATGCATTAAACATTTTGTAGGCAAGCTTAAGAAAAAGGTGAAAGTAATATGGTACAAAAATTAAGTATAGTAAAGTAGTCATGCATTAAACATTTTTTAGCCAAGCTTTTCATGCATTCACTGCCAGTAAATCAATTAAAAGTGGCACACAAAATTAAAAGGGAATAGAGATTTGAATTAGTAAGACTCACCAACTCGAGTATCAGGATGATTGAGAGCAATGTGCTTATAGACATTGCGCCAGTTGGGCTTGGCAAAATGTGATTTCACGCGAGTGCCAGAGACAACATCCACGCCATTCTTGGCATGGTTGATTGATTGGAGCATGGCAATGAGGGCAGAACGCGCATCACCCTCTTCGTAGACACTAGTGCAATAGTTGTGCATCTCTATGACTCCCTTGTGGTCCAATTCAGCCACTTCATTCATGATCCCTTTGAACCAGTCAAATGAGCCTTGTTCCCTTGTAACCCAATAAAAATAAGCTCTTCTTGTCTTGAAATTACAGCCACTTCCTGATCCAAATTTTTGCTTTGGCGTTGTCGGACCTGGACAATTTGGTAATTTGTTCCCATTCTCCAAAGCATGTTCTTCTTCCTCCGTGGCCTTCATGTTGTTCACAATGTCCTTGACAATGCTGATCATTGGTGTTGCCCCAATTCCTAACCCCACAAGTAACAACACTTCATATTTCTTGTAGTCTTGTGCTGGTGCCCCGTATGGACCGTCTATCAACACTCGTGGGAAGCTGTAAATCAATTGTAAGCATTGGAGAAAAAGAGAAAAATCAGTATCGGGAATCTTCAAAAGTAGTAGAAATCAACCATCTTCTCAATTAAAATTTTTGGCCCATTCAAATTCAGTCCTAGTTGATATGTGTGCACACATGTTTGTCAAATGTCCTTGTCTATGATGTGGAAAAATTTCCCTGTGTGACTTTATTGATCTATGATATAAGCACTATCGTTGGGTTTTTTTATTTTTTTACTACATAGACACGTCATCATACTCAGTATATGGATGGAATTTTGGTGCATGATGGAGGATTTCTAGACTCTGGTGGTAGTTATCTTGTGAACAGTGAGATGAGAATGAAAAAAAATGTCATAAGCCTTATTTCATACTCATATTATATCAATTGCACTCTCTATTGAGCTGCATTGTTTTGCTTAATGTGTAGTATGGATTAGAAGATAGAAAATGACTTACTTAGGATTGTTCTCATCTTGTGACCAATCGGCTCTCAGGAGTCCACTTTTCCCGGTACATGGTGTCTGACACACCTAACAAAGAAAAATTGCAAGCAGAGGTTAATTACAGGTCACCACAAGCATTCCATAACATTGAGATTTTGAATTAAAAATCTTGAAAGAATCAAATTATATAGAATAATGATTTGATTGTATAGTCTGTTGGGTGTTCACACCATCTCAGCAACCCAAAATAAAAAGAAACGAAAAGATCAAGATTCGCAATGCAGGTGTTCCACTTAAATATCATTTTCATCAAGATTTGATTCGTTTTAATCGACATGTATAAATATTTCTAACTTAATTTTAAAATGTTGTCCATCATCAACAGCATTTACGATGTCAATATGTAGAAAGCGCGGGCACTAATAATGATTTCTACTAATTGCCCTTGACCATTTCAAATAAAGGAAACGCACCGCTGAGAACACAGTTCTGAGCTGTCGTGTCCAATCGCCAAGTGTTCGAATATGAACGCTTAAGTAGTCATCTCCTGGAGATGAAGTAATGGAGAATGGATGCCTGTTGATGATTCAATACCATCATAAATTAGTATATCAATCAAGATAAAATTGTGGTATAGAAGAAGAAAAAAAAATTAAACCCCCAATGTATTTGATTTTCACATATGAATCATAGATCTACACTGTCATCAGACAATTTTGAAGGCCACTTACCATTCAAATGGTGAAACAGCAGCACAGTTGACAAACATGTATTGCCCACTCTTGTATCTGAATCCATGAGGCTTCGACATGTGAAGCGCCAACACATTTCCAGGATAAACAGCCACCTTCAAATTTTATGTACAAATATGCATATTCAGTTTCTATTCTACCGTTAATTGGAATGGAAAATTTATTTTGTTTACCTGAAGACTGCTAAATTCGCTTACCTTATTTATCTTAACAGGCTTGATGCTGGATCTGAATGCCCTAATCAATCTCTCAACCGCATAGAGTGTGACTGGAACTGCCAAATACATCCAGGTCTGCCGGTACCAAAAAGTGGTGTAAGGATTGATATTAAACAAGTCATCATACGATCATCAAAAGATGTCAGTTGAATTGAAAAATGTTAGTTACTAACCGTTTTCTTGTACCATTCGTGGGTCAGGTAAATCTTGATACCATGAACAATGAGCAGAGAGTAGACAATGACAAAGAGGTGGTGTGAATACCAGAAGGCATTGAATCCGGTGAGCTTCTTGAGGGGTTTAGGCAGGTTGACCCTGCCTCGCCTAAACCACGGGCTTGCTAGAGTAAAAGCTATTGCCATCAACACTACCATGATAATCCCACTCACCCCTTCAAAACTCTTCACAAAATGCCAGTAGCTTGAAGGATGAGGCCCAAAGTACTGCTCCATTGGCGCGTACTTGGTAGGACTTGCTTGAACAAGGCGAGGGAAGTCACATGATAAGTGATAAATTGCATGTATTCCAACTCCAATTGCAATTGCCACACCTATCACCTAAAAGAAACACCACCATTTTTTAGTACAACAAATTTAGCTCGCAAATAGCTGAATTCATTTGCAGCCCTAATCAAAAGGGTTATAGAATTACTTTGTGGAAATTGAGGTTGTCGTCAAATGGAACAGCAACTCCTAATTTGGTCCTGTTTCTCAACCAGGTAATGGTGTTCCGGCAGACAGGGAGCAAAATCAGTGCCATGTTCAGCTTCAGAGTCTCGGCTGCGCCTTTTGCCATACATACACAATGACCCATTACACTGTATGCTGCTCTGTTCCGATACTGAATAAACTTCCAAGTAAATAGGCCCAGCATGATCATAATCCAGAGTGCCATCACCCAAACTTTCTGCCAATTATCCAGCAAGAAGTATTTGGTGTCTCCATACCATCGCTTTATCGGGTTGAGTTCCAGTGTAGGCTTAAGCTTCTGGCTCAGCATTTGGCTCAGGTTCCGGCTTTCGCCTCTTGTAGAATGGTTTGGAGCTTGTAACAGAAGCATCTCCAAGTTCTCTATCTGTCCTCCAACACAAATTACGGTCAATTATTGAGGGATCACTAATTTGCTACTCATAAATGAATGTCATCAGGCTAAATTGTTTAGAAGATTGGTTTTTTTTTTAGTGGGATATACCATGATATATCCAAGATTATCTGGGTCTAACTCTTCCATGATCAATGCTGCATATTCATCGGCCTGTTTCTGTATATTTGACAACTTGTTTGCAGAAGCACTGTGGCTGATAATCTGAAATTGAGGCATATAAGAGTCAACTTTTGCATTGGCAATTGCCCAAAAAAAACTTTTGCATTGACCTATCTAAAAAACTAATCTTGGTTGACAGTTCAATCAACAGTTCTGCTAAAAGCACAGAAACCAAACACAAATGTTAATTGAGTTTTTATTTATTTATTTATTTGTTATTATTATTATTGTTTTGAAATCATGAAACTAGTTGGACAAAAAACAAACGGGTGATTATTTGGTAATTCGGGAGTACATCAAAGCGGCTGTTTCATAGTAGTACGATTAGTGGAGAATGTGGGATATTAATTATTTGTATTAGATAATTGAGAAATATGAGACGTAATGAATGGTGATTATCGAGGGAGTATGACCACGTAGTATTGTGAGACTATTATATAATTTTCCAAAACGAACATCAAAAATGTATTTTTAAATTATATGAAAATAATGGATATTTTGAATTTTTCATTTGATTTCACCAAATACTTTGTTTAAAAGCATAAATGGACAATATTTTATATAATTTTTTTTTAAAAAATATTGTTCATTCGAATAAATTTCCGTATATGATTCTATGAGGGATTTTTGTATTCTACACTTGTCGCACTGTTCAATGAATATGCCCATACCTCTCTGACTTCTTCTGCAGTGATTCTCCCATCTGCATCTTTGTCAACCCTGCATTGATTTCACCATTAATTAAACATTAAACTAATGATTAATTGACAGAACATAATGATTAAAAAAAAAATTAACAATGAATGATCTTTTCACGGAAATTACATGTCAAAGAAAGTTCGAAGCCGAGAATCGAAACTCTGATCACAGATTTGGTCCCAAAATTCTCTCAACTGCGCCTTATTGATCGAATCAGTCATCATATTTCTCCGCCGTGAAAGCGCATCAAAAAGCTCTCCGGCGAACTCTTTCGATTCCTTATTCATCCCTTTCATTCCAAAAAATCAAAACCTCATTTAAACAATTTAACCAACAAGTGATAGTCATCATGAATCCAAACTATTTAATTAATTAATTACCAATGCATTCACAGAACAGTGAGCGATGAAGCAAGCCATTGGTGGCGGCGGCGGCGGTGAGGTCGTCGAACCGCTTCTCCACGGCGGCCCAGGCGGCGGCGCCGTCGGCCTTACTGATGAACTTGAGTCCTTTCAAAGCATGCGCCGCCGCAGATTTCGTTCTATCGAAGCGGCCTTGAAGCTGAGCTCGCTTCGAGAACGAAGCTAATCTCATGAGTTCCTGAGAGACTTGCTTGATTTTATACGAAGCATTTCGAACAACTGAAGATTTGCTGAACGACGATCTCTTCTCGAGGCCTCTGGCAAGAAAAGTCAGCTCTGGATCTTCGATTTCCACTCCCCCGGCCGTCTTGACGCTGTGCACGGCCACCGAGTCGTCCCGGACGTCGAGCGTGATCTCGACGTAGGCTTGGTCATTGTCACTGTCGGCGGCGGGGGCGGTGCCACTGCCGCCGCTGCCGGCGGCGACAATGCCTTCTGGGAGGTTGAATCTAGCACTCTTCCGGGCACCTCTCTTGTTCAGCGGCCCGCTCAACGGGCCGCTGTACATGGCCTTTCTGTCACCACCGACAATCTCGGAGTCCGAGTGGTGATCGTGGTCGTGGTCGTGGTGCTGTGGATGAGCTGCTCTCGGATCGTCTGTTGTCATTTTTTTTTTTGCTAAGAGTTAACACAAGTTCTTGGGAAAAACTTTTTTAAGTTAGGATTTTATATATAGAGTGACACAATTCAACAAACATGACAAGACTCGGTTATTTGCTTGGTATGTGTGTGAAATATGGTGTGTGAGAATGATAACTGTGTATACATGACCGTAAGTGCAAGCTTTCAACTCCATGAGAATATATATATATATATATGTATGTATATATAAGGAAATAAACACGCACTGTGTGTGTGACGATGAAGGCAACGACTGGTTATATGATATCAGTCATTGTTTAATCAGTAATACCAACCATCTAAATTTAACTATTTAAAATTATTATATTATAATTTAAATTTATTTTACTTTTAGATTCTTTACTATATAAATTTAATTTTTATCTTACATTTAGTTCACTAAAAAATAAAATAAATTAAAATATTAATAAGACAAAATATCACATTCAAATCATAATCATTTCATTGTTTCTCTCATAAAATTACAAATAATAATAATAATAAAAAAAAATAACTAGACTAAAATAATTAAAATATCAAAAAAATAAATTAAAAAAATCTTTCCAAATGATTTGCCAAACTTTTTTCTTGTTTAATATATATGTGTCATATTAAGACAAATACATCATATATATATATATATGGAAAAGTTAGACATCATGATATTTTTTTCATAAAAATAATCATGAAAGATTTATGATCTTTAGATTACCTTAATTAGTGTGTAGTGTTTTATTCTAAGTGTAATCCAAGGGTCACAAAATTTTCATGATTATTTTCATGAAAGGTTTTTCATGATATCTAACATTGCTGATATATATATATATATATATACACATAGAATTTTTCCATAAATATAGTTACATAATAATAAAAAAAATATTAAATGATGAGCCGAAAGGAGACAGTTGACTGTACTCTTTAGATGGAGGCATATTTTGGGAAGTGAATTATAATTCACTTTCCATATTATAACCCACTTCCTTTCTCACAAAAAAGTAATAAGGGAATTGGGGTGGCTGCTGTGCGCGGGTGCACAGCAGCCACGGCTGTGTAGTCAATTGGATTCTTTTCGGGGTACATTTTGATAATCCGAACCGTTCACATTTTAGAATATATCAAGTAAAACATACCTGTAAAAAATCAAGTTAATCGGATATCGTTTACCCATTCATTCACAGACATTTGTATTTACAAAAATAAATAATAACTGTAATTTAAAGTATTAAATGAATACAAATGTGAGTGGATGAATGGGTAAACGATATCTGATTAACTTGATTTTTTACTGGTATGTTCTACTTGATGTATTCTAAAATGTGAACGGTTCGGATTATCAAAATAAACCCCGAAAAGGGCCCAATTAACTGCACAGCATGGCTGCTGTGCACCCCGCACAGCAGCCACCCCAATTCCGCTTATAAGTAGTTTTTCACCAAAAAGTTGATTATAATCATCTTCCCAAAATAGCCCGAAATATGTATGCACGCGGTTTTGTTAGGATGTTAAATGTTCGAAAATACTGTAGACTCAATTGTAATTTTAAAGGAAAATTACCATTTAATGGTTTTTTCATAAAATTGTCATAAATTTATGAAAAAATATAATCATTAATATTTGTTAAATTTATCATTAATTTGTATTTTTTTTTTCAAAACATACAATAAATTGATTTTTTTTTTTATGATTTTAAATACATTGCATCATAAGAAAATTATATCACATTTTAATTCAAAGTCACATCTAACCTTATTCCTTATAGCAATAGGTTTGTCCTAGTTGAGTTGTTCAATTGTACCGTGTTATCAAGCTATTATGGACTTTTTACGCGTTAAACTATTTATTTTGTAAATTTTTTTAAAAAATATCATTCGTACAAAAAATTATATGAATTGGATAATCGTAACCATATGATTAGATTACATTTATGTTAAAAATAATGAATGATTTATTTTCAAAGTCATATTTGTTATCTATTTTTTAAAAAGAACTGTATTTTGATCATATGGCTATAGTTGGGTTCATTATGACTATATGGTTATATTTTTCTTTATTTTTCTGTTAATAATTAAAAAAATTATTTATAAATATAATGATAATTACATCACTTAGACAATTATAATTCAACAATATAAATTTATAAACCCAACAACAAATACTAACAACAAACACACACATACAAAATGAACACAAGGGGAAAAAAAAAATTACATAATGAGAAGTAGTGGGTCCAGAATGCTACTCCTAAACTCTAAATTAACTCTAGGGGTGCAATGCTAAATATCGTGAAAGACAGAAGTAAAATTCTCTTTAGCACCAATTAATTTTAGGAGAAATAATGAAATTTAGTCAAATTAGAGAAAATAAACTCAAGCGGGTGTTTGAAATTTGCTTTTTTAATAATTTTTTGTTGGCTTATTTTGGTCTTTAGTAATAAAAAAAAATTAAAAATTAAAAATTTTAGACTTTTAAATTCTACTTAACGAGACAAACTGTAAAATTAAAAAATATATATTTCCAAAAGAGTCTAGAAAAGACAAATAAACAAAAAAAAAATGCATTTTTAAATTTATCTTGGTTTTCTTAATATTTTTTTGGAATTTAAAAAAAAATCACTTTTTGGAATAATCTGTGAAAACAGATTCGAAAAAAAAATTTAACATAATTTTATAAAAAAATTTACTAAAACAAAAAAAAAAATTAGGGTAAATTACATTTACACCTACTGAGGTTTCAGTTTAATACATATCACCCCTTGATATTTGGAAAATTATACTAACCCCCTGCCATGTAATTATTTAGACGGAATGAAAACATTGAACTCATACACTCTCTCTTTTTTTATTTTGCTTTACTTTCTCTTGTTTTTTCCCATTTCGTTTACTTTTTTTAAAAAATTTGTTTGGAATGACCTAAATAAGTGCACTTTTTGTCTTTTTACGAAAAGATGTGCAGAAAAGTAGAGAGGTGATGTGATAGAAAAAAGATAAAAAGATAAATTATTTGAGATATGCCAAACTTGGCTTTACTCTGTTTTTTTATTAGGAGTTGTTACCTTTTATATAAGCAGGAGATTTGTGAAATGAGATTATTAATCGCGAGGGTGAAAATATAATTTTTAAAATGTCAAGGATAGATAATAATTAGATCAAACCTTAAAGAGTGTCAATGTAATTTACTCAAAAAATTTTCAAAAAATGTGACAACTTTTTAAAAAGTTTCCAAACAGCTGGCAACATACCTAACCACTTGATCTGGTAGGTAAAAGTCAACTAATCACGTAAATGGTTTGTATATTATTAACAAATAATAAAATTTATTGATAATATTATAAAAATATCGTTAATTGAATGTTTACTCACTACATTTTTATTAAAAAAAAAAAATTTGAAGATTTTTTGATATTTTTCGCGTGCAATTAATTTGGTGTCTATATAAATCCGTCCATATGACTACTACGAAAAGTATAGTTATAAACAACTTGATTAGTATCAATTTGTCTTTAGAGCTCACATTATTTTATTAATTTATTTTTCCCTTGTATTGACAATTATTATTATTATTTTTTTATAATATCTAAAAGTAATTGACCTTGTTTGGCAAGGGATTTTTTGATTTTTTTTTTATACTAAAATTCAGACAAAATATACTAAAATAACTAATAAGATATGTCTCATCAAACCTATAATCATTTTATTTTTTCTCTTACAAATATCACATTCAACTATAAAAAAATCCAACCATTTTTCAAAATACAAAAATTTTAACCTACTAAAATAGCCAACTTCCCAAAAGAGTCCATTATATCTATCTATTTCTGACAATGTTTCTTATTTATTTTTTTTTTTAAAAAAATTATACAAAGAGTTAGGTAAGAGTTGAACTCATTACCATGGATTTAAGATAGGAGGATTCATACGACTTAAGTTAAGTATACATTATAATATTAATTTCATTATTATTATTTTTATTCTTACTTATTTAAATTACATATGTATCGCGTGTGCCACCTAATTAAAATAAAGCAAACAACATACAACAACAACAAAAAAGACCTTGAAGGGTGAAACAAACAATCATACAACAAACTACAAACAACAAAAAATAATAAATTTATCAATAAATTAATTACAATTTAGAAAAAATCACCGATCTTTTAAAAAATATAATTTGAAAAACTAGATGTGCATTAAATCAAATAAAATCTATATCAACACCAGCGGTCACCGTCGACATCTTGCTTATCGCCACTACCCAACTCCACTTCCGCCACCAAAAATTAGAATTAAAGGAGAAACAACACTTATAGCCTCCATTTGGAAAAATGGGAAGATGGGTTGGGTTGGGTTTGGAATTATTTTAATCATAAAAGGACAAAAAATATTTTTTAGCTCAATAAGACAAAATATCACATTCCACTCATAATTATTACATTTTTTCTCTCACAAAATGTTAAAAATGCCAAAAAGTCATTCTCAAATCAAACTTTTTAACCTCAGATTAAAATAATCAAAAAATCAAAAAACTAACCCACTTTCTAAACGAATGCATAATGATATGAGAAAAGTTAGATATTGTGTTGCCCCACGCTCTCACTTTTGAATTTTGTTATGCTATGTTTAGGTGCTGATTATTTCATTGTATTAGTCTAAAAATATTTTTATACTAGGAAATTAAATTAGTATGAATATAAGCGGTCAATGAAAAGACCACTAATTTTGGATTTCTCCCTTTAGTAGGACCGTCTCTGTCTTCTCTTCTTCTCTTTCATCATCTTCTTTTTTTTGAAAATTTAACTTGTTACAAAATCAACGATTTGTCATCTCACTTCAATTACTTAGAAAATTTTAAGAAATTATTTTTTCCTTAAAAATAAAAAAAATAAAAATAAAAAAACAATAATAAGAAAAATCTTACCAGCATGATTGACAATTAAATTGTTAAGTATCCGTTATTGCGCCACATTTAGAATTATCTTTATTGGAAATTGTGAATGATGATTGGGTGATGATGTTAAGTGATGATGTTAAGTGATTATGTACCTTTTCGATTAGTGCTATCTACAAGGTGGGTACCCCATGTGCATGATGCCGGTGTGAATGGTGATCATACCTAATGGTGGGACCTGTGCTACATGGAAATCATTTCATTGCGTTCGGATAGCTTAATATTTAAGGCGTGAATT